TGCTGCATAAATGTCTTCTTACAGAAAGCATCAGGATATAAACGATTGTAGGTTTTTCTATGTTAAATAACATGTTTTTCATTTATTTATTATTAGACTTAAAATACATCTAGTGTCCGCCATACAAGTCCCCATGAATGAAACGACAATCTGACAAATCATACTTGAGAATTTGTCAGTGGTATAATATAGAAATAAACTACACTGTTCTGGGCAAAGAAGCCAAACATGATTTCTATTTTTTACCTCTAGGCATTCTGGGTGCTTCGCTGCAAACTCTTTCCAGTCGTCTATGCAGTAATGTTTGTGGATGGCAGTGAAAAGTGAGAACTGGAGGAAAACAGTGGAATCGTTAACCTTCTTACTGAAGTTCATGAGATTAAGTGTGCTTTAACCCAGAACAAGTAAATTACTTTCTGTAATAACAATGATCTTATTGTATAGCATTGAATTCAAACATTGTAGGTTGCACACAGGAAGTGTGACAACACTCATACCGAATGCAGTGCCACGGCCATCTCAAAGGTTCCAACCGTGTCCATGTTAGCAGCGATGATGGGAATACCTCTGTAACTGCCTTTTGAGTTTCGGAAAGTAAAGCTGCGCATCAGATCCACCTTACAGCCAAGAGCATAAAAGAATGAAGATATAGGATGTGAGAGAAGGGAAAAGGCTTAACGTATGATGAAAAATCAGCCATTTTAAATGCATTTATAATTTAAACTATTAAGGCAATACGCTATTTCAAATTTACAATAATTAAACAGACATCTTTGTACCTCACTACGGGACTTGAGAGTGCTGCGTTTGGGACGGAGCAGCACATCCTTGAAGTCGAGTTTGATGTCGTTCTCGATGCGAGGCATGGCTGGGGCTGTTACTGTATCTCTGTGTGTGTGAAAACAGTATCTCTGCTCTGTGTAGCAGTGTGTTCTTTGTACCTTCTGTTTGTTTAACCAGATAGGAAAACTGTCTCACACTCCTGCAGAATGAGAAGTGGAAATATATCATGTTTCGCACATGTCGATAAGCAAAAAGACCTAAAGCTTGCTGTCCATTCAAAAATAAATTCTTTGAAATGTTTATAATACTTCATATTGGGATGCATAAAAATATCATCATAATATACTATATGTATCATGAAATTGAGCTTTCCTGAGGGTTTGCTAACAAAACAGTGGAGCCATATTACAATATTAGACTTTAATTTCCACTTTGTAACTTGTAACAGTCAGTAACAATAAAGTTATAAAAGCACTCCCACTTCATACCAGCATTACTCGGAGATGTGCCTCATTATGATAATAAACTTCTATATCAATATAGTATCATCATGTAATAACTAGGTTGTGGTGTCTGGGGTCACATAGCATCAAATTTAGCATAAACATAAAATCTTCACTACAAAAGCTGTGTGTGTGTGTGTGTGTGTGTGTGTGTGTGTGTGTGTGTAGGAGTGTGTTCTTGTACCTTATACGTTCTCCAAAAACTGTCTCACACTTCAGCTGGGGGAAAGAAAGAGAGCTGGGAATAAATTCAAGTTTACATGTATAGCATTTTTACAGCAGTCGCAAAGCAGCTTTACAGAAATCCAGATGTAGATTTAGATCCCTGATGATCCCTGTGGCATTAAGTGAATTAAACCTCCATACTTCATGTCAGGCATTATGTCAGACACCAAAGATAAACCTTTTGATTAATGCAAAAAACCAATTCTTAGAAGTTTCCTATAATAATTAAGCTACGGCTGGACTTGCATTAAAACTCTGACCCTGTATGTAGTGTTGGAGCACTGGGAATTGCTGATGTTAAGACATATATCATTGCGGAATAATATTAGTGGGCCATGTCTTCCTGTAAGTAGAACTGATGTGATAGCTGTAGCTCTGCTCATTGTTATACAGGCAGCTGAAGGGCATGTCCCGGTATGAAATACACAGTTCACTTTAAAAGAGAATATGTGTAACATCTATGTACATACATATATAAGCAGTGTGTGCATGAGTAATGCGTTACCTTGTGCTGCTGTCAGTGTCACTGGAGAATGTGATGAAGAATAAAAAAGCCACCTTTTTTCAGGAAGCGACATGAAAAAGGCGGTATTTGTGCTTTGAACATTTATAGTGATGTGAGCAGTGTAGTTTTATAACCCAAAATGTCCTCGCTAACTCGTTGGGAGGTCTCTCTACACGGACTACAAAGCGAGGACATGTTGAACGACAGAGTGTCGCGGGTTCTCTCAGTGTTGCCAGGTTCGCTGTTTTCACCCTCTCTTAACCAATGCCTCTCTGAATTAAGAGATTTTTTTGCATGCGTTATACCAAGCATGTCAAACATACAGCTTGGAAAAGGTTGTAAACATATACATAGAATCCATGTTCTAAATTAAAATGGTCTTGTGAACTGTGGTTGAATTTAAATATTTGAGAAAAAAAAAGCTAGTCTCTGTTGTTCCACTAGGGGGAGAAAAAAAACAACAAACTCAGCCAGTGAGTAAATGGCCTCAGGATAACTCTCCACCAGCGAGGCTGTTCGATTCCAGACATTTTGGAGTCGAGTCCGATTCCGAGTCCGAAGATGGGAATCGATTCCAAGAGTCGATTTCACACAATAATTCTTCTGGATTCCAAAACACCAAGATATAGCAGGGAAGAGATTGGGGGGAAAATAAACAGTTCAATATTAATTAAGCACATGGATTGTTATGTATTTTAACACACACTGCTACTGTTATGTGTTTCAAACTGAAGACAGGACCCGTTATTTGCAGGGGCAGATTTACTGATTTGGGGGCCTAGGCACAATATAGGAATATATTTTCGTCAATATTTAAATTTTCAGCATATATTATTTAGCATTAATAATTTAAAATATATATATAAGTTGCATTTGGCTTCTGGGGGCCCAAGGCGGTTGCCTACCTTTACCTAGTGCTAAGTCCACCCCTGGTTATTTGCTAATATCAAGCAAAGAAATAGTACATTACGGTATCAGACAGGAGTTCTATACCCAGAGTACTTTGTGTCAAAATGTGCCTAAGGCTTATAGTTGTATAGGTATCTATATAAACATGCAAAACATATCCAGGCTAGCATTAACCTAACCTGTGTCCAAAACATGTCATTCATTAAAATGTTCTTTGGATCCATGGCACTATTGTCTAGAGAGCAAGACAAGCTACCATCAGCCAATTAACTTTTGAGAACAAAAACAGATTGGTAACATATATATTGTAGGTTCAGCTATGGGGTTGTTAACCACATAAAACGATAACTTGTCTATATCAAGCTACTACGAGGTCACTGTGTGGAAGCGAGTCCAAAGCTTTGGAGCCGAGTCTCGATTCCCAAATGCCTGGACTCGAGGAATCGATTCTTTCTGGGATCGACTCCCGGTCCTATTCAGCAACAAGCTGCTATACGTTGATGCTGTACGTCTCTATATATTTTGCAATATATTTTCATATAATATCAGTATAAAATAAAAAATATTCATAAAAATATATAATAAAATAAATTATTTGAAATGTTTATAATACTTCATATTGAGATGCATAAAAATATCCTCACAATATACTATATGTATCATGAAATTGAGATTTCCTGAGGTTTTGCTAACAAAACAGTGGAGCCATATTACAAGAAAATGAAACAAGTGGTACAAAATTAGACTTTAATTTCCACTTTGTAACTTGTAACAGTAACAATAAAGTTAGAGCATTGTGTTTGGAAAATGTGAGGGGGTTTGAGAGCGAATTTAAGTCTGTTCATCTGTTTTGGAGGTGAAAATGCCTTTCAGACAAATGCAGATAAATTAACACAGTAGACAGATGGGTCTACTATTACTACTTTTTTGTCTTCCTGTCCCACTAAATTTTGGATTAGGTGTAATGTGGAGTATATATCTGTAGTTATAACTCTTTGGTGCATATTTTCTGATACTTGTTCCTTGTCATCAAGTACAATGTACATGTCTTGGCATACTGTGCAAATGATAACTGGAGTATTGTTTCTTTATCTGTAACATCAACGAAGTACTTCTTTGTCTGTAACACTGCTTTCTTAACTGGCGCTTTATTAGTAATGAAGTTTCGAAAAGAGTTTTAGAGGCCGGATTTGTAGTTTTTTGTGTTGGGGTGATTTTGCCACGCAGACCTGGCAACCCTTGTTAACCCGCTATTTTGCTTTTAGTTCCGTCCCAAAGTTAAATACAGACTGTTCGCATATTTGTTGAATTACATATGAAAATAATTACTTATTAATTATAGTGGCGTATTTATTTGTCGTTATAACTCTTTTATTTCCAAGAAAATTAATTTAGTCTCGTAGTTTCTGTCGGAACTCTTAATTCAGACTAGTGGATGGTAGGAATTATTTGCTAGTTACTCAGGAACTTCAATTGAATGCAAAAGATAAATCCAAGGAATTATTGATAGAGGGATATTCTGTCTTTTTTCTTGCTTTATTGGTTTTACTTTTTGCGTTTATTCACCGCGGGTGTTTAAGCAACACAAAAGCCACAATGCTGATTAAAGTTAAGGTAAGAAATCGGAAATATGTCGCCATTTCATTCACGCTGCCGGTTAGCTAGCGAAGTTAGCCGAGCACTTTAGCAGGCTGTAACGTTACTTCAGTTCATATTAATTTCTGCCTCTGTGGACATGGCAGCTTTTTAAAAACAAGCCAAGTAGATTTCTGTATATTCTGCGCGTTATAACTATATGAATTAAAGTGTGTGATTTAATCATAGTTATTTTTTTGATCATGAGAGAACTCGCGCTAAGCTGGATGTTAAGGTAGCTAATCAGCCGCTGTGCACTGTTCTTCCCTCATCTAGACCCTGACTGGTAAAGAAATAGAAATCGACATCGAGCCCACAGACAAGGTATGTTTCCTTCTGTCATATTAAATCATACAGATAGCTAGTTTTATTATTATTATTTGCGTGGTGCCTTATATGTGCTTATATTTATATATTATATTTTATAAATAGTGTCCTGTATTTAGCCAGCTCAGTGGTTAAGATGTTAGACTACTGATCAGAAGGTTGTGAGTTCAAATCCCAGCGCTGCCAATGCTGGGCCCTTGAGCAAGGCCCTAAACTGCTCAGTTGTATAAATGTGATAAATATAAGTTGCTCTGGATAAGGGCATCTGCCAAAGGGCTTACATTTATGTAATATAAAGCAGAGTTCGTTCTTCAGCAGGGCAGATTTGTGCTTTTGATATAATTAGGATGATGTGTGCTGCGTTTGCATGCTCTGATTTTTGTGTGTGTTTAGGTGGAAAGAATAAAAGAAAGAGTGGAGGAAAAAGAGGGAATTCCACCCCAGCAACAGCGACTCATCTACAGTGGAAAACAGATGTAAGAGAAGTCCAGACACTCACAGGCTGTTGTAGGCAATAATGCATAAAATTAGTGATGAAGTTTATTCTATGTGTATGTGTGAAATAATATAATTGATTTTTGGTCTTTTTTTTTTTTTTTTAAACCAAGCTGTTTACATATTATGACCTCTAATGATGAGGTTATTCATACACCTCATATTCATATGCCCACTTATATTTTCCATATTATTATCACCATATTCATGAGTAAGGGGTGCTGGGGTTAGAAATTTTCACAGTATGATAAGGCTGTGAGGAAGGGAGGCATGCTGAGGGGGAAAAAAAAAAAAACATTTAAATAACGCAGCAGTATGCAGCACTTCTTAGCCAAAAATGAATGTTAGTTTAGTTCTGCTCAGCAATGCCATGTTGTTGTTTTTGTGCGTTTGATAATTGTCATGGATGATCAATTTATGAATGTATAGATGGCAATGCAGCATCTTTACAACAGTAGCAGATTACACAGCCAAAGGGTAATTGTCAGTGATGTCCAGTTGCCAGTGTCCCCAATTGGTGAGAATGGAGAAGGGAATGGTTACAGTTTTGGGGGGGAATCACAGCCAAGATGTCAGTCAATGGTAAGATAATTGTCTGATCATTCAGTGTGACTACCCATGGAAATGTGACGCCATAACAAGTAAGAGAGAATATTTTTTAAAAATTGTGTGCCAACTTGGAGACATGATACATAATTTGCTTCGCTTACCTAGTTTCACTAGTTACAGTAAAGTCCCAACCTCCCCAATCAGTACAATACTGCTGATCACCAAATTATAAAATTCACCTTGTACATCATAAGCTATATGCTTTACGCATTAAAGAGACCCAGATTACTTTTACATAGTGCACTGGTGCTCTTGCTTCTATGATGACAGTGTTTGAAATGTTTAAACCTCAGCACCCTGTGATGGCTCTGCCCCTTCGCTATACAGGAAAACACACTTTCCAGCAGTACATCAGTAATTTTCTATGCTGTGAAATGATGCAGGCTTTACCTGATGATCAGCCTCACCATGCAGCATGTAATTCTGAAAATCCAAAGTTTTGACAGCATACATAGCTGCTACATTATCTACTGTTAAAAATGTAAATCCTGGTATTGGGAGTTATCAAACCATTTTAATGTATTTATTAAAATAATTGTCATATGTCTTTGTATGCTCTGATTTTCAATGCTACTGGAAAACCAGCATTGCCCTCATTTCATCTCCGTGAATATCACGCTCTCACCCTTTTTTCAGTCACAAATACATACTCCCTATTTCAACATTATAACATTCCAGGTATAAATATTCCTCTGCTTGTTTTCAGGAATGATGAGAAAACAGCAGCAGACTATAAAATCCAGGGTGGCTCTGTATTGCATCTGGTCCTTGCGCTAAGAGGAGGGCGAGTGCACCAACACGCCAACAACCTCCTGCAGGCCTTATAAACACCAGACCTGCCTTCAGCACCACAGGTGACCTGGCAGCCTCAACACACACACACCACTCTTCCCTAAACGATCATCTGACCCCAACTCCACGGCGGCGACTCTGCTGGCTATTGTGTAACAAAGTCTCTATGTTCTGTAGCAAACTACAGCATCTTCCTGTCCACATCCCTCTTCCCCTAATTTATCCTTCTTAGAGAACTGTCACGCTTGATTTGTTAAGTTTACAATGAGTGATGCTGAAAAATCATTGTTAAAGTGAAACTGATGCAATAGGATCATTTGTCAATAAAACACAGTATTGACATTTTTTTCTCCCCGAGTTTTCGTGTCTGTCGTTATTACAGAGGATGTACCGGATTACTCGGTTACTATTTTTACAGGAAAAATCCACTTTGAATGACTTGCTTATCAATATTTAAAGTCTGTTGCTTAAGAGTTCACCCTCTTTAACTTTTCCACATTTTATGGACATACATCTTGAAATGAATTTAACTGGGATCGTTTGTAATGACTCTACACAAAATAGCCCACAACATTTTGGTGGTGGGGGATAAAAGTCAATATAATTTGCAGAATTATCTACAAATAAAACAAACTATGAAGCCCTGGAACCCTAGTTTAACCAATCGCTATCAGAAATCACGTAATTAGTTGAATGGAGTTCACCTTTGTGCAGTTAATGTCATGTGATCTCAGAATATATGCACCTGTTCTGGAAAGGTATCAATCAGGGTTTGGTTATGTAATAAATCAAAACTTTGAACATCCTGCAGAGGACTGTTAAATCTGTTATTTAAAAATGGGAACAGTATGGCACAAGCATGACTGCCTAGAGGAAGCCGTCCACTAAAAGACTCGGTAAGGAGGGTGTTATTGGGAAAGGGCTCAACTTTTCTTTGAACCATTTTGCAGTAAAGTATTTTTTACTTGTATAATGATTGGGTACTTTATGCTAACTATCTCAAACTGGTTTCATGAACATGAGAATGAGATCAGTGTTCTTCAGTGGCCTTCCCAGTCACCGGATCTGAATCCAGTGGAACAGCTTTGGGATTTTTCGGAAGATTCACAGCCTGAAAGTGCACCTGAAAAATCTGCAGGAATTGCATGATGCAATCATGTCAACATGGACCAGAATCTCAAAGGAATGTTTCGAACAGCTTGTGGAATCCATGCCATGAAGAATTGAGGCTGTTTTGAGAGCAAAGGGAGGCCCTACCCAGTATTGGCATAGAGTTCCACATAAAGTGTTTGCTGAGTGTAAAATTAAATTGAAAAATGGCTCAGTGATGCAGTGGGTAGTGCTGCTGCCTAACAGCTACAAGTTCGATCCTGAGCTCAGGTTACTGTCTGTGCAGGTTCACATGTTTCTGCTGGTGTCCAGTGGGTTTCCTTGCGGTTCTCCAGCTTCCTCCCATCTCCCAAAAACATGCTGCTAGGTGAACTGGCTACTCCAAATTGCTTCCAGGTGTGGATGAGTGTGTGAACATGTGTGTGCATGGTGTCCTGTGAGGGACTGGTGTCCTAGTCAGGGTGCATCCTGGCACTTTGAGTCCTGTGTCAGTGTTCTCAGAATGGCCTCCAGATCTACCACAACCCTGACCAGGATAAAAACAGTTACTGAATAAATAAATGTCCTTAAATTAGTTATCAATCCATGGGTGATGGCAAAGATCATGTTACATCACCCTTTTATCCCTGCAGGTGGTGCCGTTTTACAACAAAATGTTTTAGCCATGCCCCATGAACCAAACCACTCCATGTATTTATTTTTTTGGGTGTACAGATTTATTTGACTTCAATACACAGCTGAAACACATACAAAATCTATAAGAAACGAGCTCAATAGAAACTTCATCTGGAAGTAATGTTTGTTGGATGACTTTAGATTTTTACTGAATTTTTCAAACTTTTAATGTCAAAAACATCTAACCAAAACCATAAAGAACAACTGAAACATAACATGACAAAGACATTTAAAATATCACAAACATCAATCACGTGTCGCTGATGGTGGGCACAGTCATATTCTACGGACACATCTAAAGAGCTCAGTCATGGTTACACCAACATTTTGCATGGCTTTCAGTGACCTATCTTCAAAAGTCTGTGGGAATTAACAGCGTGTATATGCACCGAGTGCTTGTAGTGAATGGGATGTGCAACACTGCAGCGCAAAATTTTGAGATTTCCTATTGTTTATCACATAAAATATGAAAGATCTAGTGAGGTCTAAAGCTCTTGCAAAATGATGTGCATAGAACTATAAATATACGTATAAATCAAACAGATTTGTAAGCATGGATAAAGTTGTTTTAATGGTGTTTCTTTCTTTTACTATGAGACTTAAGATGTGTCCTGAAAGTCACTAAACATTCTATTGCTTGTTTATACAGCACCTACACATTTACTATATTTATACATAAGGGGAACAATTGGCACTCATTTTAGTGGTGATCATTTTTCAAGAGTATTAATTAGGTACAAGTGTGACATCACTACGTAGGCACATAGACAAAGACCCTGTGACCACGAACATCACGACATTTTTACACACAGCAGCAGACTTTGAACCTTTCTGTCCACTTTTGCTATTGTTAGGAAGTACATCTGAATGATTGCACCTCTGTCATAGTATTATTATTTTTTTAAAAAGTTTAAAAAAAAATCTGTGAAATCATGAAAAGGCGTGTCTTATGTTATCTCTATCACTCGATTCTTTGCAAAAACTAAATGTGTCGGGCTACAGTAAGACTGAACAGAGTTTTGGGGAGCAAAATGTATATATTAAGTAGGATTTTGGACATGGGAGAATATAATCCTACATGAAACCCTGTTAAACAAATGGCATCTCACAATAGCAAACATGGACAATATAAGCACAGTCAACTGTGTATACCTTCATTTTTTATTTACAGTGGCAGCACAGATATAATGACACACAAGGTGAAGAGAAGGGCTAGCCTGGTCAGTTAAAGTTAGTCAAGTTATCGCACCTACAATAACACCTATAATACATCTATATTATTTTAGAGTAATATGAATATTACGATTTATCTGACTCTGAATACATGTTTAGTACTCAAGTACTCATTTATACAGTCCTCTATTTTGTTTTTATATATTCGTGTCTTTTCCACAATCATATCAAGAACAAAAATATAGCACTCCCTTACTCTTGTCATTTTCCTTTTTTCGAAAAATAAACTGAAGATAAACTACTTCACATGAAAATACATCCTTTTTACTCACATG